TCAGGGATATTCCCACAGGATCCCAGCTCTTCATCACCGGCCGCTCCTCTCCGGGGACCCGGGCAAGGCCCCGAGGTGCCCGCAGCACGGCGAGCAGAACCCTCCCCAGGACCAGCCCCCTGCAGGACCCCAGTCTACGCCCGTTTCGATGGAACCCTACCTGGATCAAGACGTTGGCGGATTGGCGGCAGATGGTGGCAACTGGCGGCAACCGGCTAGCGGCAAAGAGCTGCACACACCCCGCACCAAGCGCCCACCAATCGTCCCACACTCGCCGCTAGATGGCCGCTCAACGCCACAAGAGAAAGCACCCGGTGAAGTTCAAGGCTTCCACACAAACATCGCTTAACTTCATGCGCGGCACCGCCCATGTCTGAGCTCGCACACGGCACGACTGCACTGCTCAGGGCGAAGATCTCCGCTCAAGCTGGCCGGGCCGATCGCGCCCATCATTCTTGCGTCGGCGCATGCAGTGTCCAAGAAGTTCGAGAACAACGGTGGGGGGATTAGATGAGGAAGCAGTGGATAAGGAACCCAGAGTCTGGATGTCGGTGGAACTCCGATCGTGGATCGGCCACGGATACCACCGCCGCCCTCATCCGATAAGGAATCCTCCAGGGTCTGAAGCCTCGTGGGCACACTCCTTAACTAACGCCCCCACCGTAGCTCGGATGAGTATCGTTTAACCGATCCCCATACCCAGCGGCGTGGCCTGGGCCCCACTGGCCGATTTACCCCCCTGGGTGGGGATACAGGTCGTTCCCTTCGGGTCTCGAGGGGTGCATCCCCAACTGGGGTGGCAATTTGGTGGGGGTCTCGAAGGGGATGGGGATGGGGATGGGGATGGGCATCGGTGAAACGATACCGATCGGAGAACTACCACCTACCGATTAAAAATCATTGATTCTTTTTCTTGGCGGTCGTCGTCGCAAGCACGTTCGCACCATCGGCTGTGTCCGCAAGGTCGCCCCAAAAATGAAGCTTCAAAATTTGTTTAAACGGGGGCTTGTAGCTCGAGCTCAACAGACCAAACCCTCTCCTCTCGCAAGGAACAGGGGTGGCGACGGCGCGCCTCGGCGCCCGGCCGGCCAGCGGAGGAGGGGCGCCGCCGTGCCCCGCGCGGCCAGACGGCGCGCGCGCCGCGGCGGACATCCCGCGGCCGCGCGGCGCCGACGGCTGGAATTCTTTGGGCCTGGCGGCCGCGGGGGACCTGGGATTCTTTGGGCCTGGCGGCCGCGGTGTCCGGGGCTGTCCTCCTCCTCCTCCTCCTCCTCCTCCTCCTCCTCCTCCTCTCTCCTCCTCCTCCTCCTCCTCCTCCTCCTCCTCCTCCTCCTCCTCCTCCTCCTCCTCCTCCTCCTCCTCCTCCTCCTCCTCCCCCTCCTCGGCGAGGCCGGGGAACAGTGCCACGCCGGGAGAAGAGTGCCCGCGACGTCGATCGACGACGACGACGGCGCCGCCGGCGCCCGACGACGACGCCCGCGGCTCCGACTTCCTGGGGGCTCTGGAGGCCGCTGGGGGCCTCGCCTCCAGGGGCAAACAAACCTACCCCGCTTTTGACCACCCTCGCTTCCAAGAGATACCAAGCGATGCCAAACTACGGCCTGCACTGGTCATGCCGCCTGAAGAGGAGGCGCGTGGTATGACTTGGTTTTGCCTGGAAGCGAAAGCGGGGTAGGTCATTCACGCTCTGGGGCCTCCGGGGGCATCTGGGGACCAGGGGGGCCGTCGCCGCCGCCGCCGGCGGCGGCCGCTGCCGGCGGCGACGGCGTCGGCGTCGTGGTCCCTTTGGCGGTGTCTGGGGACTCCTCGGGGTTCTCGTCTCCGCGGGCAGACGCTGCTCCCCGCAAAACTGGCCGGGGTGGACCCAGGGAGAGATCCGTGGGAGGGCAGACTTTGAGCGGACTCTGGTCGGACGGCGACGACGACGACGACGACGACGACGACGACGAAGACGACGAAGACGAAGACGACGACGTCGTCGACGCCAGAAGGCTGCCCGGCGGAGTGCAGATCTCGGGCTGGGAGGGCCTCGGGAGGATGCCTGAGGATGAGGAGAGGGGGGATCGGCATGCGGCAAGGGGCGGTTGGCCTGAAGCATGAAGGTGGACAATCACGGCGAATGGAAAGGACAGCACCTGCCCTGCCGTCGCTGAGAAGCAGGGAGGAGGGCGACGACGACGACGGCAACGACGCGGAAGAGGAGGAAAGGGAGGGGGAGGGGGAGGAGGAGGAGGAGGACGGAGGAGGAGGAGGAGGAGGGAGGAGGAGGAGGAGGAGGAGGAGGAGGAGGAGGAGGAGGAGGAGGAGGGGAGGTGGAGGAGGCGGAGGAGGAGGAGGAGGGGAGGAGACGAGAAGTAGGAGGGAGGAGGAGGAGGAGGAGGAGGGAGGAGGAAGAGGAGGAACAGTGAGGAGGAGGAGGAGGAGGAGGAGGAGGAGGAGGAGGAGGAGGAGGTGGAGGAGGATGATAGCGAGGGTGAGCAAAGGAAGGAGGAGGGGGACGGAGGATGAGGACGAAGCGAACACAAAGGAGAGGGACGAGGAGGGGGTGCTGGAGGTGACCGGGCGAGGCCGCTGGCGGGCCCCCAGCGAGGCTGGTCTGCCGGGAGGAGGGCAGGCAGGTGCTCGGCTGGAGGCAGCCAGTATCTCAGCAGCACCGTAGCAGCCACGCTCGCCTGCCTCTCGGTGCTGTGTGGAGGCAAGGGCCTGGCAGCCGCTGCATCTCGTCGACTGCTCTCAGATGCCTGGGGCGACTGCGACTCAGCAGGTCGGGAGGAGGCGGAGGAGGGACGAGCGATCTCTGCCGGTCTCTATTGGCGGGTTGTCGGGCGAGGAGGAGCAGCAGGAGCGGGAGGACACGGTGGCTCCCAAAAAATCCCAGCATGCGCTGTGTCTCGGCCTCCATTCTGGAAGTGCTTTGTCACTGCATCATGGCTACTAAGCAGCGTTGACTCCTGCCGTTCGTGTGTCGTCGGTGGTTGGTCGGTGTCGTGTGACGTCATGGGGCTCTGTCGCTGTTGGAACAAGCAGCTCCGTCGCTGCGGGTAAAACATGCTAGGTAATTACGCAATGCGGGAGGCGGTCTTGAAGGGAGTGCAGGGCCGCGACAGTGCATCCCACCCGTCGGCGCCCCCCAAGCTCGACAGGGGGGAGGGGGCAGCGGCATGGATCTTGAAGGAAGTGATTACCGATGTTGACTCACTTTCCCAGATGGCCAGGGGAGCATCAAAGGTCCAGGGGCTCGTCGCGAAGACCGCGGACGGCGCGACGCTCACCACAGAGGGTCCGGAGTCAGGCCGGGGGGGGCAGTGCGGATCCAAGAGATCCGCGCGGAGCGCCAAAAGTTTATGTGTATGGCGTTATTGTTTTCTTATTCTTATCCATATTATCATTTTGCTTCTTCTTATGATTAGTCATCGTATGAATATTATTCGTGTGATGATTATGTTAACTCTTTTTCTTCTCTCATCATTACTGTTATTACTAAGATTATCAGTATTAGTGCTGCTAGTATTGTTATTACCATGCTTAACCTGTTTTCTTATTCTCCGAGGAGAAGGAGGATGGCCTGCGAAGAGGCGGGTCCAAGACAAGAGAGCCACCGTGCAGCGAGAAGGGGGGGGAGGCGGCCGCACTCAGCATGAGCCGCTCACCCCAGGTAGGCCCTACCGGCAGGGGAGACAGCCTGGGCCACGACCATGAACATGCGCCATCTCAGCAAGAGCAGGAGGGGGAGGGGGAGGAGGAGGAGGAGGAGGAGGAGGAGGAGGAGGAGGAGGAGGAGGAGGAGGAGGAGGAGGAGGAGAGGAGGAGGAGGAGGAGGAGGAGGAGAGGAGGAGGAGGAGGAGGAGGAGGAGGAGGAGGAGGAGGAGGAGGAGGAGGAGGAGGAGGCGGCTGGGAGTTGCCCCACGGAGCAGCAGCAGGAGCAACGGGAGCAGCGGAGGAGCTCGCGACCGCGACGCCTCAGCCGCGATCCGCCGCCGGCCCGTCGCCCTCGCGTGGCCGCGCCGCCTGGCCTCCCGCGGGAGGCGCCAGGCCCAGCAGCCTCAGCAGGGATGCGGCGCGAGGCCTGGGATGGGATGCACATAGACGTCTATACCCCAGACATGATCGCGTCGTAAAAAAATCGGGGCAGCTGATTTTTCCTCATTTTCGGCCCCCGGGTGGGGCCCTCGCCAGGCCCCGGGACCGTCAAAGAACGACGCAGGATGAAAAACCGGCACCGGGGAAAGGGTCTGGACTTCCGGGGACGCCGTCGTGAGAAAATCATGACGTCGCATGTCCGGGACAGGTACTAAATGTTCTCCTTGGAGGCGCGCGTCCGACCCAAGCATGTAGTAAATACCCATCGTAGTATGTCGTTTCCCGAGCGGTGTGGCCAGAATGCGCCCGCCACGACGCATAGACTACAAGATTTCTCGGTGCGTGCGTCGCCCCCCGGGGGGGTGACGCACATTTAGTACAAGTATGTTGGGCTGACGCCGATGGGAGGAGCTCGAGGCATACGCCGAACCGCCTGGTCGGCCAAGGAGCCTCCCGACCCGCGCGATGCTTCTCAACAACGCTTTTGTTTCTCCTCCGTTTGCAACTTGTCGTGCTGCGGTCGACCGAAACAGACAGACAAACGGCAGCCCAAAATAAAGCAAAAACGACACCCGCTGGGCCCCAAACGAGCAGACCACGGAGACCAATCACATAAAAAAAGGCAACACAAAACATAGCGCAAATAACAGACACGGAAAACAGAAAAATATCACGGCAGCTTGAAACGATGTAAACAAAAACGAATCGCACAACGAACCGAAAGCGGCGAGACGGTAACCCCAGAATGGGACAAACAATGCCCACAACACACAAACAGCGCAGATCTCAACAACGGGCAACAGAACAACGCCCCCCGCGTTTTTTGCTCCTTGCTCTAACCCTCGCCCGAGCTCCTCGACCCCTCGGCCGGCCTCCACGGCACGACGGCGCCTCGCGCCCGAGCCCCCCCCCGCGAGGGC